GGCTCCCGGGGCCACCCCACGCGGAGCAGCGATGCCGGCCGGCCAGGTGTCCCATTAAACCAGGCCATGCAAGCTCCCAGGCACCACGTACCAGCGAGAAGTAGGTGGATATCTCCTGTGGAGAGCTTGGTGCGCCTTATTGCTTGTGGTTTCATCTGGGTGATGGTCGAGTAGGGAAGGGGGTGGTAGCGGCGTGGGCGAACTGCTGGGTGCAGGAGTGGGAAGCCGTGGGAGCGTCCGCAGCCGGCAGTGCTGTGGTGGCTCCGCATGGACACACAGTCCAGCCAGCGGGAGCTGCTTCCTTCTGGCAGCGAAGGAGGCACCGTCAAGAGTTCAGCTACTCCAAACACTTAAGTTGTTTAAGAGCATTTACGCAGTCTACACCAAACAAAACCATTTGCATGATCAAAACTAAACTAACCTGTTTCCATCGAAGACTTTGTTCTAAAGCAGTGGGGATTTTTCTTGCCCTCCAACCATTCCAAGCCCACTCGCCTTTAAATCAAGCCAACTGGGTGGTTGTTTTTGAACCAGTGCTGCTCAGCATCCCTCCATAGGGCCTCCTCACCCACGTCCTCCCTCTGCCCAGCTTTCGGGCCATGCGAGCATGGCAGCAGGGCCATTGTTTGGGTTGGCAGCAGGCAAACAAGGAATTAAATGAAAGCATTAAACACAAGAAGCTAACTAAAGAAATGGTGTCCACCCCTTAGTTCCTCCACTTATTGCATGTTGTTTCCCCCGTACCTCGAACCACCGCCAGCAGCCGCCTGTCCAGGGGACGGGAAGGGACAGGACAGGATGGTCCTGCAGCGAGCGGCAGGCTGGCAGCACGTCCCTACCTCCTAGACACAGCGACTGCACATCGGCTCTGAGCCAGCTCTGAGCCATCAATGTCTTAAGTCACCTCCGTACCTGCAGGCACCTCTTGCCAGAGCGTGGCCTCGAGCCATGCCTGCCAGGCTGGTGGCACCACGTGAGTGACTGCAACCGTCGGTGTCCGGTGTAGTTATTATGCAGCTTGTAAATAGGAAGCATCGGGCAAGGAAATGCTTTGCAACAAAAGGAGAAAACTTCAGCAGGTCGTTACTGAGGGTGAAGAGGCAAAGCTATGCTAGATGGCCGATGTGCTATTCATAGTTCTGCTGCTAGTTTTGCTTTTTCTTTTCCTTTTTTGCCTCTTTTGTTGGGCCAGGTGAGACCGTTGATCGTTGTAAGGCTACGGTGTGCAATTCCCTCCCCTGCAGCGGGCAAGCAGGGCGCTTCAGCCCGGCGTCGCTGGGCTTTGGGCACGGTCAGGCCTGACTTCGCGCGGCAGGGTGAGGAGGGACTCGCCGCTCCATCGCCGGCGGCCGCTTCGCGTTTGGGCGTTGGAGAATCGCGATGGTCAGTGCAGGGGCTACACAACACAATATGCTGAGATTGCAACTTCCTTTAGTCTCAAAAACGTACTAAGATAAATGCAGGACTTTTATTTGTGATGTCTTTTGGAGCTCTTCATTGTAAGTGTGAAAAAAATGTTCTTGGGGGGGGGGTGATATATAGTGATGAATGCATATGTTCAAAAACAGCAACTAGACAATGTAGGTTTCTCCCAAGCAAAGTTAACTCAGTTTCCTGGGGAAAATAAGTTATCTCAAGTACACACAAAACCCATATGCACTTGCTCACCACGATGTGTACGTACTGTAGTTAGTGCTTGAAGCTACAAATCAAGTAGGGGAAAAAAGCGACAACAACGTAGATATGTATAATTGGAGCACTTTTTTTTTGTTTAATTATGATTTTGCATGTTTCCTTTTCCCACGGAGAAACTGCGTAGCAGCCCGCATGACTGTGGTTGTTCCCAGGACGACTTCTGGTGTTCTGCTGTGTTCACGCCGAAGCGCAAAAAGCAGTTTGCGTCCGTTAAGAGAGTCCAAGAAACCCCTTTTTTTGTAACCGTCAACAGCACAAATATTTTGTATCGTCGTTTGTACCATTTTTGTACCAAAAACAAAAGGGGGGGGGGCAGGGGAAGAACGTAAATGTTTTCAATGTGTTTTTAGTGCCACTGCAATCTTGGTTTCCAAACTGAGTAACAGCTTTGCTGATTTATTGTGTATCAAAGCTGAACTGGCGCACGGACGCCTGGCTCCAGTGTAATAAATAAAGTCCCCCTTTTGAATAGTCTCACTTGCTTTTTTTTAATTTCATTTAACTTCCCACGCACACACGCACCCCACCCCCCGCACACAGCCCGTTTCGTTTGCTGCTATCACAGCCCAGCCGTTCCCGCGTTCCTTCCTCCTCTCCTTGCTCCTTTCCTTCCCTCCTTCTCTGCTTCCTTCTTTTCCTTCCTTCCTTCTTCCTTTCCTTCTTTCCTTCTCTTCCTTCCTTCTTTCCTCCTTTCCTCCTTTCCTTCCTCCTTTCCTCCTTTCTTCTTTCCTTCCTTCTTTCCTTCATTTCTTTCTTTTCTTTTTCCTTATTTCCTTCCTTCTAGCTTTCCTTTTTCTTTCATTCTTTCCATCTTTCCTTCTTTCCTTCTTCCTTTTCCTTCGTTCTTTCCTTTCTTCATTTCCTTCCTTTTCTTTCCTTTCTTTTCTTCTTTCCTTCCTCTTTCTTTCCTGCTTTCCTTTCCTTCCTTCTTTCCTTCCTTTTTTACACTTTCCTTCCTTCCTTCTTTCCTTCTTTCCTTCCTTCCTTCCCTCCTCCTTTCCTCACCCGCCAGCGCGCTGGTCCCGCACCGGCCCGTCTGCCCTCCCGCGCTCGCAGGGCGGCGTT